CCCATGAGCTCGTCTGCGAAATCAACTTGCCACTCATTACAAAAATCTCTTACGTGCAACTCTCATTTACGCAGAGGCCTCTTGCAAAAAAAAACGGCACAATTTCGTTTTATGGAAGTTGGGCAATGGAAGAGTTTCGTCGGGTGAATCTGAAAATTGAGAATATTATTTGCGAGTCAAAACACACGCTATCCTACGAGCATGTAAGCAGGCAGCTCCGTGCTTGCACTTTCCAGCCAGATGAAAATTGCACAATTTCAGTCTGTGAAATAAAAGAAATCTGCTAGGTTCTAAAATATCTCATGTAGTACCTTTGTATAAGACATTTGTCTTCCCTGCATTGAACTCCATGGAGTGAGTACAAAGCTGCAAATCCCTAGGTCTTCCACACATTTTAGATTGAATCGTGAATTCTCTTTTAGAATTCTTTTTTAGAAATCAATAGATTTTGAAAAATGATCAAACCCTCATTACGTGTTTTCTGGCACACCGTGAATTCAAGCAATCAGTTTGAATCACGACTAAATCAAACGCAAAAAACTGACGAGCCTCCTTCCATCTGCGTGAAACCTGCTCGACTTAGCCAAGTCTAGTTCTTACTCACCTGTGACAAAACAGCTGCAACACATTCTGAACCATATTCTCGTTAACAAAAACTATTTATTAAAAGATTGTGCAATTCCTATTTTCGGCCTCTTCTAACTCCTAGGACTTTCTTGAAATCGGGTGACCCGCGTTGAGGAAAACACGGAGAGCCCCTTTGAAGCTTCCGGCAAGGACAACAAAACGATGTAAGGAGAGCCTGTCCCAAAGAGAGCGTGAGCAGGTTGTTCTGCGCGTATCGTACCCGTTTATATTTTGTGATGTTGTTGAGGCGCTTCGCTTATCTGATGAATGTTTAGTCTGATCTAGAGCTGCTTGCAAAGAACCCCCATGAGGAGATTTCTCCAGTTGATACGTCGCGTTTCCGTTGGAAGCTTTCGAATTGCATCAACAAGACGATTAGAGAAGGATTCAGGGGCAGCCAAGCACGAGGTCAGAAGCTCATCGAAACCTGGGGGGATAAACATGACCGTTGGGATAAACAACAAAGAGCATTTTCGTACCTTTAAACTTTTCTACTTGGTTGTTTGTCGGCTTTTTTTTCCTCAATCTACCGAAATTCGAATATCAAGAACTTTTCATGCGAAGCTCACCGTGATGCAATGAGGGAATTCACTTCAGATGGGGGGGTTCAAATTCCAGACAAAAATCCAACTCGTCTCACTTCCACAAATCAAATGTTGCTCTGACGGGCTGAAATGTCAAGAATGAACACAAACTTTGAAACCATCGTCCTTCACCTGTATTGAGGCGTAAAGCATCATCTGTTAGTCAGATGACCCTTGAATTTCGACCAGTTGGAAATATTCTGAGGAAAACAATCCGATGGAACGCCCAGTATCGGGCAGGTGCGTTAGGTCATTCATCTTACGCTTAGAGTTATAACGCGAATCCTTGAGTCGTTCGTCGACACGCAAATCGTTTGACTGTCGCTCGACCATACGAGCCCTGTCACTTTCCGTCCGGAGGCATACCTACCCTTTCGGTCCGGCATTCAACCTCTGCACGGAACCGCAGCGTCCTAGATTCGTAAAATGCAACGCGGCCAAAGCGTAGCCCAACAGCGAGCAAACTTCCACTGCAAAACGCAAACAGCAGATCGTAAGATGGAGGGGCGGATCCACCTGACTCGGGGGATATGGCCATCGCTGTAACGAGTTTCACTCATCCTAGAGAAGAGGAAAATAAGTTCATCACTTGATTTTTTCTCACTCTCGTTAATTCGAGCATTTCCACCTTCTTGGTTCGCGATGATTTTGTGGATGTTCGCAGGGTCGTAGTGGGACTGCCATTGATGCAGCACTGAGGGATCTCCACAACCTGATTCCAAGACCCACAGCTATTTGTATCTCAAATAAGTGAGAGACCCTGTTGCTCTCAACTCACCTGAACTTAAGGTCTTCTTGCAGTGTCGCATTCTGTAATGGAATTCTCCATACTTGAATCGTTCCATCTAATGCACTTGTATAAAGAAGATCCTGATTCCGAACATCAATCAGTTCACTATAATCGGTCGTTCTGCACCACTGACTCTATAGGAGGGATGGAAAACAAACGCCTGTGCACCAATCCGCGCATAGCAGACGATCGACTGATAGCGTCGTTTTTTCTCTTTCTGTCGAAGAAAACGACTCGATTGGACCAGACGCGAACACTCCGATCCAAACTTGCTGAAGCCAGTCGATTGACGCAGTTCTATGAAACAAACAAAAAACGATAAAAACAAGAGGGAGGAAGAATCTCCTAACTGGAAGAGGTTTGAAGTCCCAGCGACAAACAACAATTGTAGCGCTATTGGCCTGTGAGTGTCACATCATGGACTTTCGTTGAAGATTGAGTTTTGATGTTGCGGTTGTGCAGAATTGTCCGTCTGAATCCGTTTTTCTTTTGGAGTCGTCGATGAGGAAAATAGCGGTGAGTGGGAGATCTGGTGCCTCTGGAGTCGACAAGTCTATGGATTCGAAGCTTGACATAAATGGCCCCCCCACTCAAATCCTCCTCATTGGTGTGCATTTCCCAAAGATGGATTGAACCACTTTGAGCTCCAGCAGCGATCCATCTGTTCAAACATACGTGGGATGCAGTACAACAAGTAGGATTACCTGCCATCGCCGCTGACTGCAATTGACCAAATGGGAGAAGCATCGGGTGATTTCATCTCTTTCACTAGACACAACTGATTGAGGCATTGATGATCCTTATTGGAAGCAATGCGGGTGTTTATTTGGTATGGAAAATTTCGATTTTTATCAAGAGTGGATCGGCGCATCCACGATGTTGGAAGAAGAGAAGAAGAGGGACCGTACTGAGGAGTAGATGAAGGAGAGCCATCAGGTGTTGGGGTTCCTGAAATTGACACCTCTGGCCCGATGACATTTGAAGATGGGCCATTTGGGATGTTTGATTTCTGACGATGATTAGGACGAGAGAGTCCTCGATGTTTGTTGTGAAGATGTTGTTGTGCTTGGAATTTCTTGTGAAGTCGATTGATAAACTCCTGAGATGAATAAGAAGTCATTCAATAAGAAGATGGCGAACTATATCCAAGAACAAAAAATCAGTTATTGTGAGAATTCAATGGCCCATCAGCTGGAGACCCCAAGGCATGAAAATAATCATAGCCATCATCTCACCATTTTCCTTCTCAGTTATCGATCCGATTGAACCCTTGGCTTTAGTCTGTCTTGAAAACAACGCTGAAGGATAAACCAGCTCTATGAATTGAGATCTCGTTTTTTCAAATTACCGCTTGTCGCTCTTCCCCATAAGCTCGGGGTTGCTCGCGATCGTTCCTCAGAATCGTCATCATCGCTGCTGAGTCCATCTGGTTCCTCATCGTCAGAGTCCTCAATAAATCTTCCATTCCCGTCTGCTTTTTCTTGTCTTCTGCGTCTCCAATCAGCGAGGCGCTCAAGGTGTCGCTGGAGCTTACGGCAGGTTTCTGAATTCACATCGAAAATGTCGAACAAATTATTCTGTTTCGCTTCCCGTTGTGAATTTCTGCACGACGCGTCACTCGCCGTCACGAATTGCAGTGGGACCAATCGCGCTTCTCCCGTGTCGAGATTTTTGAATTGAATAAATTCGTCTGGTGGATGTTTCTCTTCAGCTGAGTTGCTGCTGTTGATGACGCGAGCTGCAAGAGAAGCCGAGGGTTCTTCTCCGAAAGGGTTCGATGATGTTACGAAGGTGTTTGGGACTCCTGGATGGAGCCCTGCCGACTTCGACAGTATTGAATCCAAATCGTTCGGATATTGTTTGTTGAGCTTCAGCTATGGCGCGAGCGGCGGATGCTTTGTCCCTCTGAGAGAGTTGAATTTGCACCCCCAGCCTTTATTGACGGGCGTCATTGATTGTTCGTCTAAAGTGAAGCCAAACGGGTTGTTTGATTGTTGGAGCGTTGATCGACGCGAAGCAGTCTGTTTCTCATCTTCCAAAATACAACTCGTTGGAACATGAATGATCCTCAGCATCGAATGGGTTGGGACACCACATTTGGATTGGGGACACACATTTGGATTGGGACACACATTTGGATTGGGACACACATTTGGATTGGCACACACATTGAACGAAGTTTGTGATCCAGTTACTATTTGTGGAACCCTCAATGGTCGTTTCGTGTTCTCTCCCCCACTCCTTCTTGTATCGCTGTCACTTGAAGATCGCCCTGTTGAACTGAATGCGTCATAAAATTCATCATCTTCATGCATACAACTTGGACCACTGGTATCCTCCGTATCATTGTTTGAATTCCCTCTCGACTTTGCTTGAGACTTTGCTTGAGACTTTGCTTGAGACTTTTCAAGGCATTGTTCAAAAAATTAGCTTCAACAGAAACGCAGGACATAAAAATGCAATCTACATCAGTGTGACACTATTGTTCGTATTTATTATTTAACCATTCTTTTGTAAGGGACGAACAAACTGTTTGAAAGTTCAAGAAAATCCAGAGAAACGAGAAAAAAAAGTAGAACGCGAACGTTATACCGGTTTAGTGCGAGACGAAGGACCGATGAGTACGCTCCACTGAACAGTAACGAATCGATTTGATCAACACTATAAACAATATTACAGGAATCAAAAGCAGGATTCTACTTTTAGAGCTCATTTCTATCTAATTTTTAATACCTTTTATGCAACAACTTCATCAAGATCAATCCCGCTTCATCTTTCACAAGCGCTTGAACGTCTTCCAATTGTGTTAATTTCATCAACATTATCTCGAACTCATCAATATCAATCTACAACAAATCATCTCATCGCAATACACGACACTCTTGATTACCTCTCCATCTTGATTCGCATCCACAGAACGAATGATTTCCTCGCATTCTCTTTTATCCAAACCGCTCATTTGAAAAATCTGCAGCAAACACATTGAATCATCCATAAAACTAGGAAACATACAGAATGGAGCTCTTCGAAGAAATCTTCCCTGATTGATCTGGAAACAAATTCTTGAACAGAAAACGGCGTAGAAGTCGCGTACCTGTATCGAACATCTCGAATGCGCGCTTCAGAGATTTTTTCGTCAACAGCGTCTTTTGGTCCCATACAGACAGTTACAAACTCTACAAACCAAGCAAGTGCATACAACTGTCCCAATTATCCTCTCGAGTCCCAATTATGAAGCCATCCTCCATTGAAGTCCCAAGTATCCTCTATAGAGTCCCAACAACTTACCTGAGTAGTTCAAGTATCCATTTTGATCGAAATCAATCGATTGTAAAAGTCTGTCAACCTGGCGTTCAATCGACTCTTCATCCAAAGTCGTAATATCTGCGCCTTTCAACTAAAAAGAGAGATAGGAAAAACTCTTCTATAGAAAACACTCTTCTCTCCCGACGAATTAGCGTCTTACTCTCAAGAGCTCCTTATAGCCGGATTTGAGTTCATTGCGGTCTAGTTGGCCGTCTCCGTTCCTATCCAATCGCTCGAATATTGCAGTGAGATCCTTAGTTTCCTCTTTTGTTGTTAATTTTGATCCCATGTATAATAATGCTGCCTTCGCTAATTTTTGAGACGATCTGAACAAACAAGCGATGAAGAGTTGGAATAATACAGTGAACGTCTGACAAACACCAACAACTTGTCTACTCACTGGAAATGGATCATATTATTGATAGCTGATTCAAGTAAAGGAAGTTGTTTTCCCAATTCTGTTGGCTGTGACATCTTCGCGATGAATTCGTGGTCCAAACATTGTTGCGCCGTATATCTCATGGAGGGAACGAACATGAGCATGTGGCGGATTAAATTTTCCACACACTGTGCTTCGCGTTGACTTTTGGCAGGAATCGAAAAGTGGCCTAGTAGAATACTTTCCTGCTGTCACGCGGGCCAAAATGTCGGACTCTGGTTGCTCCGCCGAATGGTGGACGTCCTAAAGAAAGAAAGTTGCACAAAGAGAAAGACTTTAAAAATGAACAATATTGGTGCGTTGTCTCCATAGCAGAGAATCATCTCTGTAAGACGCCTACCAGTAATTAGAATATAAAGAATGACACCCAGACGACCAGATATCGCATTTTTCCGTATAAGACCCAGCAAGAACTTCAGGTGCAATATAGTAAGCTCTGAAAATAGAAACATGTGAACTCATAAACCTTAACTCTACTCCTGCTCTCTTTATGGATGTGGCTATCGATGTGGCTATGGATGTTGCTGCTATGGGATGGTAGATGAGACTGACGTTCCAATTTTATCTTTCATTTTAGTTGCTGAAGCAAAATGGGTCGACAATCCAAAATCGATTATTTTGATAAGAGCATCTGTATTCGAATTTTCCAATAACAAATTTTCAGGTTTAAGATCCCGATGAACAATGGAGTTATGATGCATATAATTAATATCCTGATAAAACCTGCTTGATTGTACGCGCCGCATCGTAAATATCCAAACGTTTCTGCTTCGCGATTTTATCGAACAATTCTCCCCCCCCCCCCCCCCCCCCCCCCCCCACCGGTATAAGCACTTCACCGACCAAATAGTAATAGCCGGAATCCTCAAAAAATTCGTTAGAGTTTCATGATATTCGGATGATCCAACTCCTTCAATAATTCAATCTCACGAAGCAAAGATGATGTTGAGCTTCCCTTTTTCATAGATGCTTTTGAAATCACCTTCACCGCACATTCCTGGCCAGTGACCTTATCGCGACACAGTACGACTTCCCCGATAGCTGCCCTTCCCTAACACCTTGATTCCTCCATAACGATCAGAAAACGCTCCGACCTTCTGATGGATGAACATTCCGGGAGTCATTGCGTCGCTCTGTTTGCTTCGCGACGATGCAGAGCCCTCCTTGCGCAGGGTTCCTCCCTCCGCTGGTGTTACAGGCTTTCCAGTTTTCATTTCCCATTGTGGCGGTTTATAATTCTGAGCAAAGCAACCAGTAGGTAAGAAGAATTTGACGAGGCGCTAACTTCAATCCCTCTTTGGCGTCTCGACACGGAAGTTGCCGAGAGAACTACCGGAGAGATATTTGGAGAAATTTTCAAGCTTTCAAATCCAAACAAATCAAATTTGGGAACGAACAATTGAACCTGAGGGCTCTCGTTTCTAGCAAATGGGCGCAGGGAATAGAAGCTCAGTTGGTCGCCTTATCTTTTTCTGGACCTATTGTCTGATCGCTTGGACCGCATGCTTCTGATAAACGGTTTGCGTAATCTTGGTGTTGTGTGTGTGGAGTTTGTTACCTCTGCTGATACAAGAGAGTGGTGCGTGTCAACATCGTCGTCATAAGTGTAACAGATCCTCAAGCTGGGATTAAGAGGGTTTCACATACTCGAAAAAACTTAACTAAATTCATGTTGTTGAAATAATAATGCGGCGGCAATTTCAACATCCCAAGCAGAAGCTTCTAAGGCTCGAATGGATGCACCTCTGGGAAAACCCAAATCAACCAATCTGTAAAAATACGGCAACAGAGGGCCTAACTGTCGGTATGCTTGAAACAGCAAGCCGTATTGGTGTTGCTGACCTCTTCACTTTCTCTTCTGAAATCTGTTGCCGACCATCCTGACGCCGAATCTGAGGGGCCGATTCGGATGACGGTTGTGGTGCGACGGGTTGGTTTGAATCGGGCGCATTGATGTCTTTTTCAGAAAGAAACGGAAGAGCCTCATGACCGATTCTCAAAACATTTTCGCGCAAATCGACCAAACACTGATGTCGCCTAAAACAATTGAATTGAGTCGGAGATCCGAACAAAGCAGTCGAACCTTAATAAATCCAATCCGAACAAAAAATCAACCTTATCGTCCTCAAGGACTGTGAGAGAGGCTGCAAAAAATTGGTTTCCCATCTTAAGCTGAACCATATGAATTCTTCCAACAATTCGGGCAGTCCCAACGCCTCTAAAGTAAGCAGAGCTTGCCACAGTCGTTGAACATGGAACACACCTGGCTATTCCACTGAATCTTGTGTCAACAAGGCTCATCAAATTGCATCGCTCTGCGCATCTTTTTGACATGATTGTTGCCTGAGATAAAAAAAAGTGAGTTTTTCCAAAATAGCTTTAAATAAGAATACCTGAGCACCAGAATCAACGAATGCCTTCAATTGAATGTGATTCACTTCCACAGCGACGAACAACATGATCACATTTCCTAACAGTGAAGATTAAGACGTCTATGGAAGGAGAGTCCCACCGAAGCTTTCGGGCAAGTACTCTTGTGCGCGAAGGTAAGATTCCTCAATACGCTGCTGTTGAATACGTTCTAGAAAAAGACGTTGGCTATCAGGATGCAGAGGGTCAGCTGCAGCTTGGGCTCTGCGGCGGTATTCTTTGTTCATTTCCTGATAAGTTAGTCGTGATCCACGTTGAGCTCTTGTCCCTTACATTTCTTTTTTTCTCATGCTCTGCTTTCACAGCTTGACGCAATGCTTCCTTGTCACGACTTCTTAGCGCTGCTGCTACATCAGGATTGGTTGCTGAAATCATTTCTGGGAGTTCTGGTTCAACAAGACTGCGGGCAAGTAAATTTTCGACAATCTGATTAATCTGTTGCACTTCTTGTGTGGAACTTCTCAGATCCAGAGCTGCAGAGGAACACTCAATGATCTCCAGTATCTAGAGTGAACGCAAGAGAGGACTCCAGAAATTCAAAGCACGAACCTGAGAAATCTAAATTAGCTAAGACTTCAGAAATTGATCCAGCGTTTCCTCTTTGGTTTGGCTGAAGCATCAGAATACTTCCGTCCTTCAATCCAATTTCTTTTAAAGTCTTTAAATCGAGTGACGCATCGAGAAGTTGAGAGTTGTGAACCAATCGCTGTTGACGCGGTTCAACATGGCAGTCAATCTCAACAAGGGAACGGAACAATTCGAGTGTCATGTCATCTGTCACCTCTAATGTTACAGTAATTCCTGCAAAAAAGCGATTCTTTGCTTTCCCCCGTCATGCGGACCAACCACATTCTCATTCAACTCACTTGGGTCGGTGACAGTAATCTTCATTGCTTGTAGGTCCAGGCGGGAAACAGCTGACGCACCAATTAATTGGATTGAATTCATCTGAAAATTAGATTCTGAAGCTTTAAGCTCTCAGTGATTCAAACACCAGGCAACTCATTCCGATCTCATTTGCTGAAAATCATACCAATTTTCTGTATGAACTGATCTTAATGGAATCTAATCCCTCTTGGCCTATCCATGTCATCAAAGTGAGCGTTTCTCTGAAGCAATACATTCAACAACACTTGATGAGATTCGTTTTCTTCTACTCAGGCCTATTCGTCCACAATCTTTGGACACCAGAATCAGCGAATTCCATTCGGATGTCTCAATTTGACAGCCATTTCTGAAGATGGGTCCCTGTTATTCGTTGGTGCTTCAACCCAGGTACAAAAATACAACGTTGCATTGTCCCACGTGAAGTATTTCAGATCTTTGTCTTCGACCTCACGGCATCAGCAGCAGAGATCAAAGCGTCTCGTCTACATCCACAAAATTCACCTTGTCGTCATCAAGGATTGCAACGGCCTCTCTATGTCGTTGGAACTCCAGATTTTGGGATCATCAATTCAATAGCAGTTGGAAACTTCTCTTCCAAGCCGAGTTTAGTCGCAGTAACGAGTTCGGGATATGTAAGCGTCCAAACAGATCAATTGATGAGGTATTCTTCGATGATTACGAAGATAATTCGACCATCTTGTTTCCCAGGTGATGGTCTTCTTCTATCTCGAGCCGGACGGTTTAACTCGTCCCATGATTGCGAGCACCGTAAGTCCTCAAATCACCTTCAGTGTCCCGTGACTGTGCCAAGAGTGTCCCAAGAGTGTCCCGAGATTTCCCATGAGAACGTCCTTTTCTTTGTATCTTCAGAAGTTCGGCATAGATACAGATGATTCGGCGTGGAGTATTGGAATTTCTTCGACATTTCCAATTGTTACCGTCGGAACCAACGCTCACAAGATCTTTGCATTCGATTTCAGTCAGGATGCGATTCGCGAGCAATATCATCCGGCGGGCTCTCCAAGAACCGAAAGCCGACGATTTCGCCCTTTGGCCTTTCGTGACTTGACATCTTTCTTGGATCGACTCATTGCTCAGGGGGAGAGACTCCAAAATTGGGGTGGAACGCGGACTCGTGGGAATGATTTTCAGAATCATCAAGCACCGTCTAATTTCGAAATAACAGGGCCACTGAGCTCAGATCCAGTCGCGGAGGAAAGTAATCTGGATGATCAACGAGGGAGGATGATGGAGGGCAACGGGACGCCAAGGAGAGAGACACTCCCTAGCAGGCGGAGAGAGGATCCTACGAGTCGTCCATCGGAGGAGGATCCCACGGGTCGTCCATCGGAGGAGGATCCCACGGGTCGTCCATCGGAGGAGGATCCCACGGGTCGTCCATCGGAGGAGGATCCCACGGGTCGTCCATCGGAGGAGGATCCCACGGGTCGTCCATCGGAGGAGGATCCCACGGGTCGTCCATTGGATCCTTCCACTTCCTCGTCGTCAAGGTGTTTGAATAATGTCCCCGACATTCGACTTGATGATCGTTCGTCTCGTCGATCGAATTCGTCGAATTTTAGTCCAGATGGAAGTATTTATGAGAATTCAGTTACAAATGACTCACTTGATGAGTTTGTGACGATTGGCGCTGAGAGTGAATCATCGGAGGAAAATGAAGCCCAAGAGATCAATTTTGATGAAGAGGAAGAGGCCAATCGTCAAGAAAGGAATCGTCTATTGGAGCAATTCATTGGTGCGTTCATTTGGGAAAAGGACAGTTGGGACAATTGGGACAGTTGGGACGTAGAGCATGTCCATCGTGGATCCTTTCTTAGTTTGATGGATTGATCCACATGCAAATTAGTTATGGCAGTCAACTGCTCAGTTGTTCATCATTCGTGATATTCAGATGAACAAGGAGCTGAGGAAGAAGTTCATTCGCGGGAGGAGTTTATACGGACGCGCACGAAAGGTAAAATCAGTCAGTCATCCGACATTTCAATCCGTTCCAATTTAGTCCATCAAAGTCCAAAATCTTGTTTCATTTCACAGATGACATGTTGAGGCGTTGCATTTTTGCTCATCGGCACAATATTCCCCATTTACGATTTTCATTTCTCGGTTCCTTTCTATCGTCTGCGTCGATTGATCGAACATTTAAAATTTGGAGAACAAAATCTTTGATGAGAGATAGAATTATATCAAGCAATCAGGATGAGTAGGTCTCCGTGTGTGGGCAACACATTCATCCTTTCTAATGGCTCCTTCGTCTTGTAGTGATCCTGATTGCGTTGCCACACTATCGGCTAATGAATGGTGCTGGGCGTCTGTTTGGATGCCGGAGGAAGCTGTAGCGGAGGTAATAATACTAGGCACTTATTCAAATAGTTTGAAAGGGGATCTCTTTGATTATTTTGATTATTGTTTGCTTCATGAATTTCAGAGGGACTTTATTGGCTGCTGTCATTCCCACTTACCAATCATTATAAAATTCATACGTCTGTGGCTTTTGAAGGGTCTGCTGGGTCAAGAAGAGAGCGAAACAAGTTCTGACTCAAATCAAACTCCCACCAGACACTCACACTCTCTTGTCGATAGTTCTTCCCTTACTGCTGAGCTGCTTGTTGATTATATTCGCGATGTCTTAACTTCACGGGAGATGCTCTCCCAATTGAGTCTCAAGACCTGGACCAGTTCAAAACTGCAAAGTTGGCTCATGGCATTTCTTCCAAGGGATGATCTGGTGAGAGAGGATCAAAGTATTTTCTATCTGTTCAATTGGGACTGCTTGGGACATCCTCTGAGTGTCATGCTCCCTTTTCCTTGCAGCCGCGCTCTGGATTCCTTCCTCCATCTTCTTTAGTCGAATCTTCTTTTTCTGATTTTGCTCCTGCATTTATTAAAGACAGCACCCCCATAGAATCAATCGGGATGTCAAAGATTTCAAGCGTCCCAAGCTCAGAAGATCAAGCCTGGTTGGAGGAGTGCTCAGAAGTGGCTTCAGCAGCTGTTGCAGATGGTTCCAACAAGATCAAGCGGGAATGTCGGGGAGTCGATTTTAGCCTGAATTCAGCCGAACAGTGTGTGGTCAAAAAGATCATATCCAAGCCCGAAGCCCGTCTGCGCCTTCTCTCCTTGCGTCAGTCAGTCCAGTTTCAACGCCGTTGTGAAATTGTCAACACGGCCATTAGATGTCTGCTTCAATTGTCCCAAGAGCAGCTTGATTTTGATTTGTTCCAAGAAGACCTCGAAAACGCAATACAAGAGACGACGGATATTGACTTCGAGAGTCAAGAGGGAAGACATTCGATGTGCGAGAATGACGCAGTGCGCCACGCATCTGAACTGGACAGCAAGTGGGAGGATGGTGTCACAGATTCGAATGTGATCTTTGCTTCTTTTGAGGCTCTTATCAAAGAAGAACGTCCTTCTGTCGAATTAAAACAATTACTCGAAATAGTGAAGCATCGAGTTGTTGAATCGATTGGGTTTCTGATCGTTATTTGCAACAGAACACATCAGCAAGCAGTTAGTTATCTTCATGTTTGGGACACTTCGGAGATTTCTGCGAGACAGATATCCGTCGAGAGTCCATCAGGGCTGTTTTCCTTCAATTCGAATTCCAGTAATGAAGAGAGAAGATCTCTAAATGAAGAAGAAAAACCAGTTCGCTTATCAATTGAAGAGGCGAAAGAGTTGTCGTCCCATTATGTGATTGGCGCATCAGATTCCTCGCTGTATTTGTACTCGTTTCTTTTACGTGAACGTAAGAAGGAATTTTATGAGAACGATTACAAAGAGTTCAGAAGAAGGATCCAACCCAATCAAGATTCGCAGGATTCAGATGAAAGCGATCATGCAATCAGTGGAATATCGACTGAAGGGGATGAACGGTCCTACTATTTGGTTTCCCCCAAACTCGTTTCACGCGCGATTCCCTCTCAATTAGGAGTTGGAACCACGTTTCACAGAATTTCTGTTCTAGAATGTTGTCCCCATGCTGGTCTCATCTTTTGTTCTTATCAAGATGCGTTGCCTGTGGGCGTGTACCGCTTAATTCGTTGCAACATAACAAAACGAATTTTCTTTGAATCCGTTCTTCGAATTGGAGGTTCAGATCGTATTCCTTCTTTTTTGCGACATCCATTTCTTGCCCCAAGCCCTCCAATCGATTTTATCCCAGGAATTGAATACTCAGCTGATTCGACGCCAGACAACTCTTCAACGCGTCCCAAACTCTTACTCAATACGTTACGATCAAATGGTATATCAACACCAATTCAAAAGACGGATTTAATTCTCGATGACCCTGCTGACATTCATTCCAATTCTGATGATTATCACGAAAGACTTGGACTCGCTGGATGGTCACTCCGATGTAGTACAGTCTCTAAACATCTGGTTCCTTTCTCTAACGAAAGTCCTTCTCAAATTCATTCAATTGACTTAAGGCTTCTCTTACACGGATGGTGAGTCAATCATTTTTCCTTGAAGTCTCATGAAGTCGCTTTCAGGAATTTGTGCCACTACGTCATTCATCTGGGATGACAACACAAACTTTTTTTTCTGGTGCGGTGGAAATGTGTTCGAACAGGATTACAGGTTCTGAACCTTCAAGGTCCCATCTGATATCAAATGGGGAAGCGCAAATCTAGGAAAGTTGTCCGTCAGGCCGCAGTCCCGAGGCTTGACGTTGAATTTGACTGCCCTTTTTGTGGACATCTAAAGTCCATTAATGTTAAATTGTAAGTTTTAATTGAGATTTCTGTTGAGAGCGCTTTTTTTTCACCAGAGATTTCAAACAATTTGTCGGAAGATTGTGGTGTCGAGTTTGTTCGGTCGATTACAGCCAATCGGGAATTTCTAAATTATCGCAAGCTGTTGATCTGTACAGCGATTGGTTGGATGCATGTGTAAGTGCGAATTCTCCGACGCAACTGAGGAGGACGAGAGAAGAGTATTTGTACGAGAATGAGGCTGAGGAAGATGATAGAGGGGTTCCAACCGATGAAGATGATTCGAGAGTGGAAACGATGGAAAATAGCGAGACGCAATTGATTGATGAAAATGACCTATTTTTTGAGGATGAGGGAGACCCTAGCGATCAGCGAGAAGAAGATCTTCCAGTAGAAAACTCTCCAACAGGATTAGATGAAGATGAAATTACCGCAGAGAAACAGAGAGGGGGTCGATTAATCAGACCGGAAGCGTCTGATGAAGAAAGTGAATCTGCCAATCCTGATGATGATGACGATGATGATGATACTCGAGTGATAAAGCGACAGAAAGTAGAATTATTCTCTTGAAGTCGATATAATTGTTTTGATATTTATTTTGCGATTTGTTCTCTCGTTTTTGATGGATGTTTATAACAAATGTCTCTAAGAAGAGCGTGATTATCACCAAATGATTAATTACATTCCTTCGCGTCGACGTGGAGCGCACCGAATAATGTCATCAACACGAATGATCTGAAGAAAAATGGAGCGTCGTTCCGAAAGCGCAACAAATCAACTTCAATAAGCAACAGGGTCTTTTTCATCCACTCACCATTTCAGCAGCTTCAGACGCAGAGCAGAGCTGCGACAACTTTGACTTGAAAGCCTCCATCACTCCAAGTTGTCGAATATCGCCAGCATCCCCATTAACGATATCTGAAGAGAAGATTCAAGAGACACATAATGATCGGCAATTGATTACCGATTCCCATATAAGACTCTCCGTTATGATGAGCTGCTCTCAGTTTTGCGACAATCTCCGCTGAGTCGAATCCTCCGTTGTCGAGAATAATCGTTGGAACCTGGCGCAACGCTTTAGCGAAAGCTTCAATTGCCAAACTCTTTTTTCCGCCGATACTCCGAGCCAATGAATCAACAGCATCACTCATTGCCATCTCAGCAGCACCACCCCCATAGACAACTCGGGTATCAAGAACCAGTTGGGACAGAACCGCAAGTGCATCATGAAGAGACCGCTCAGCCTCATCTGCAAAACAAAATTCGATCCATTGATGAAAACGATTAACGGATTCATTTCATATTTTTGACAATTTCAGAGGCGCATCCATCATCTCACCAAGAATATGAAGATTCGCTCCTCTTAAGACGATCGTACAAGCTTCATTGCTCTTGCATCCAGTGAAACGAATGACTTTCGACTCTCCAATCATAATCTCCTCGATCGAATCGCAATACAAACCAACAGAGTTTTATCTGGACTGGAAAAAAAGGAAGAGGATTATTGCGGATTCCATTTTGGGACACTCGACTCCAAAGATGGTCTGGGACACGAAATTCACGAAGCTCTATCGCACACTGACCTTTCGAATGTCGAAGCAATTTCCGCTCCAAGAACTGCTGCAAGTCTTTCGGTTCCATCAAAATCTGCGTGTTCTATTGGGGTGACTCCAGCATCTTTGAATAATTGCTCGGGATAATTGTAAATAAGTTGGCGGTTGATGAAAACATTGCATCCATGCGCAACGATTTTTTCTACCTGAGGGACATAACCCATTGTCCAGTCGAGCGATCTTGCAAACCATAATCTCCTGACTGTCTTCGGTACCTTTGTTTTCATTTTTTCTCGTTCAGCGTTTTCTAATTCTGCTACTGCTTCGAACGAGTCGACCTTCACTCTTGCACCATAAATTTTAATTTTGTCTGTATCCATCGGAGTATTTGCAACTAGAACGTTACACTTCTCAATTTTTTTGTGTTGTCCGACACCTAGAGAGATCCAACCAACTCAGTAGGACCAAATGTTTGACACGCCAACTCACCCAACGCCTTCTCTAAAATAAATCCTTCTTCAAGGAAAGAATCTCGCAGAGTTCCTCCAGACTTCTTGATGATCTAAAGACGATTTATAACCATATCATACACATTTACATATATATATATTATATATATATATATATCTACCCTTTCAGTTGAACGAGCCCTACCTGTATATAATCCAAGTTTGGCTTCCCTTTCAACCTCAAAATCGCGTCAACGGCTAGTTTGGCAAACTGATCCTTTTCGTACGTCAATAGTTTCGAAGACAAAGCTGTTTTTGCAACGTTCATTAGATTTTCTTTCATCTTCTCTTCGCTGTTCGAATTATCAAAAGCAATCTTCTCAAGAGCCTCACGAGCCGCTTTAGCAGCAAGACGATATCCGGCGATGACAACCTATGAAAGCAGATGAATTGTATAGCAGATGAATTGTATATCGAAATTATATATCGAAACAGATAACTACATGTTGACAGATAACTCGATGTTAACAGATAACTAGATGTTGACAGATAACTGTATATCGACCAGTTACACTGTAGAGAGATTCCCCACTCGCCTGTGGATGGATTTTCTGTTCAATCAACTGCTCGGCATTTCTGAGCAATTCAGCGGCAAGAACAACAACGCCGGTTGTTCCGTCTCCACATTGACTGTCCTGCTGTTTTGACACGTCTGTAAAGAACATATGGGAAAAAACAAAAATACGGACACATACCGACAAGAATCTTAGCAGCAGGATTGTCGAGCCACACAGATTTCAATATTGTAGCTCCATCATTTGTGATTGTCGTCTTATCCCGTCGAGATCCTTCACCTCCAATAGGTTGGAGAATTTTGTCGGTTCCTGGAAGAGAGATGGTTGCATCAACGCTTCGACCCACTTATTACCTTTCGGTCCCAGCGTTGATTTGACGAGATCCCCGACAGCAATCGCTCCAACGAAGTATTGAAGACGCGCAATTTCCCCGCGGTCTTCCTGACCTCCGCTTTTCAGGACTTGAGGGATGATATTCTGAATGAACAAACATTAATCCCGTTTAAAGGCTCCAGTAACCTACCATAGCCATCTTCTTGGACAGGTGATCAGGACCGCTACGAAGGCAGCTATGGTT